ATATATATATTTTTTTTTTTTTTTAATTGTATCAAGTAGTAAATATGAATTACTAGTTAAAAACATGGATATGAATGTAAAAGGGTAGCCACTCATAAATAGTTTCTCTTTTTTTTTTTCAGGATAGAAGTGTTCATTTCCCTGGAAAAAGAACCTTGGCAAGAGATCTCATAAAAAATTTCTCTGGCAACTGTTGTCTTCCCTACACCGCACCTTCCCCACAACCCGATAAAATAAACACCGCCAGATTCAACTTTCAACAACGATTTTACTTCCTCTACGCGGGATTTGATTCCCACAGGATATTTTGCAATTCTTGGAACCTGACATATCTTGTTAGCAATTTCCGCAATACATTTTCCATTGACCCTGTGTTACATAGAATCAGAACAATAAAATATTTGAAACATAACAAATGATGAGGAAGCGAAAAGCAATAGTCAAGCTCCAGCAAAAGCAACATTAACTTCTCTAACATTGGCAAAAACAACACCTCAAGCTGACAACAGATCTTGACAAATATTCCTTTTGGAATAGTTGTCTTCTCTTTGGCACCCATTCCTCACATCCTCGCCTAAATACTTCAATCCCATTTAAAGAACCTTACTTGACCCGCATAAGATGAATTCCAGAGTATTTGTTATTTAGCTGCAGCTTCAAATCTTGCAAGCCAAGCTTGTATAATACTTATGTAGCTTGAACTCCACCCAAAATATATTTTTAAAAGCTGGAGCTAGAACTCATTTGTCAGCTTATTTGTAGATGATGAGAAATTTGCTTCTCATTTTTGCTCTAGACTTACCAATTTGGGCAAGAAAGTTAGTAAATGATTTAAGCTATACTTACCAATGGGAAAATTCAGCTCCAGCAAAATAATTTCATGATCCTTCCATGTCATCTGCTTTACGGAGAGCGTCCTTCCACCTCTGCACCTTCCTCAAATCAGAACCCTTGAGATCTGCCCCAAAGTTGACTATTGACCTTAAGCAATCTAATGGCTCACATTTATAGTAGACAGAGAAGAATTCCTGTCCCTTGTTGTCAACGCACCCCATGATCTTAGTGAGTTCTTCCAAGCACCGTGGGGATGAAGTATAGTCCTTGGAAAAGATGGTAATGGCAATCCTTGATTCCTCGATGGCTTCTAAGATTTCTGTTGAAATTTGTTCTCCCCATTCAGAGTTGACATCGGGTTTGAATGCATTGGTTCCTATGTCTTTCAGACGTTGGTAAAGATCAGCAACAAAGCTTTTGTCCAAGTCTTGCAGTCTAAAATTAAAGAATACATCAAATTTCCATTTTTGGGCAGATTCAATTTGGAAAGCCATGGGGAGATTTTAGGATTTCTGCTAATCTGCAAAACAACAATCACCAACAACTTGAACCATCTCACAACAATCATTTATCCCCCATTGACTCAAAGAGGAGCTAAATAGCTTATGGGTCAACTTTGGAAAATGACCAAAATAGTCCAGTAATGCTTTATTCTCATACTTAATATGTAACACAGGTTTGTTAGGGGCGCTTTACCAGCAAAATCCAATTTAGTCCGCTCTAACGTGGATATTAGATACTGAGTGAAAAATCCAAAAAAGAAGTATTTATTATGAACTTCAATATATTTTACTTAATTGAAATAGTCTTTAATTTATGATAAAAGATGTTCATTTTTTATTCTTTATCTTAAATCTAACAAATTTATTAAAAAGTTGTTAAATTTAACTATGAGTCCTTAATGTGAGGCCAAAATACATATTTTTAATCATTATTTGCCTCACATTTATTATTTATATTTGTCCTTTTTGAGCATGAATTTTATGCATTGTACTTAATAGTATATTTTATTTGTAGGATTAAATTGGTGTGAAGATGAAGGAATTTGAAGCTAAAACGAATTAAAGATGAAAGACTCAAGAAAGAAATTAAGCAGGCAGTTTAATGTATTAAATTGAATATTATATTATATTTATATATATATGTGAATCAAACGCTGCAAAAGAGAAAGAAAACATACCAGCTGCCACGTGGCAACAATATGAAGGAGGCGGCGGACGAAGTACTGTTCACGTGGAATTCAACTCCTTTTAGGTTTTGAGTTCCTAATTTATTTTGGACTCAATTATTTTATTCAGGATTTTTACGTCTATAAATAATTCATAAGAATAATTATTAAGAGAGGAGGATACAATGTGAAAATAACTTTTGATTTAGGGTTTCTTCTTTTCTTCTCTTTTATTTTATTTTACATTTTTTATTTGAATGATTCATTGTAATTGCTCTATGTTTATGTGGAGTTAAACTTTTCGTTCTTGGATTATATTTACTTACAATATGATTGTTTAGTGATTTTGATTCGGCATGATTTGTTCATCATATTAGTTGTTCTTATATTCTTGTGATTACTATTTTAATGCTTGATCACCATTGAAATAAACATATTGTCCAAATTGAACTGGGGAGAGAAATAAGAGGATAGAACATGGAATATAAGGAGCATGATTTTCTCTTAATAATTAGGGTTAATTTGTATCTAGGATAGGGATATACCTAGAAACCATGAGTGGTCACTATACTGGAAGAAATCTTAATGCACGGTACTTAATCCATCCTATCCCCGGTCAACGATGTAGTTAGGGTGTTATTTATCGTAGGCGATTAGAGGTCGGGAGACCATGATCATACATTTAACCCTGTGAATCAATAACTAGATAATCAAATAAGTTGATGAAATTGATGCTAAAAATGATGTTAGTTAAATTATAATCCTAGATCGATTCATTCTATTGATTGTGTAAATATCTATTCTTTTCTTAGTTTAATTTACTTTTTAGTTATTTTATCTTTATTTTTAGTTTAGTTAATATATTCATCTTTTGAAATCTTCCCCTTAAATAAATAATTAGAATTAATATAATTTAGTAAGAATAATTAATTGACAAGTCCTTTGGGTTCGATAATCCGGTTCTTTTAAGAGCCACTATATTACTTGTGCGACCGCGTACACTTGCGTGTGCAATTGGAAGCAACAGTCCTACCTTCCAAATAAAATTTACCATTGTTTTCTTCTTTGTCGTCTCCAAAGAAATAACTTCATCAAATTTAACATTATGCTCTCTTGAAAGAAAAAAAATAAATTTTTATTCGAGAAAATGGTGTTAGATTTTACGACAATGCTCGAACAAATTTATTAATTAATTTGGCAAAACTTAGTTCTTGCTCCTTGTATAGAATGGAAAGAAGACGTGTGACTTTAAAAAAATTACATCACCCATTTTTTCACTCCTCCAAACCCGACCTAACTCAAAAAACCAATCATTTTTTAAATTCAATCATCATCTCGTGGTTCTTGTTTAGTCGAACTAGCGTTCTGAGTCTAATTATCAAGATAATGACTGAATAAAAGAACGATTCTTTTTTATTTTCATTTGGGTCGTGTTTGGAATCATCATATATATATATAAAAGAGAACCATAGGCACCCCTATGTGGTGTCATCACAAGCCACAATTTCCTTTAAATTCATTTATTTTCAAAACTAGTCTTTCCCTTTGATGAAACGTTGTGACTTTTATGAAAAATTATGACTTTTATAAAAAGTTGTAACTTTTATAAAGAGTTGCAACTTTTATATCAAAAGTTGTGAATTTTATGAAAAATTGTGACTTTTATGAAGAGTTGCGACTTCTATGAAAAATTGTAACTTTAATGAAAGGTTGTGACCTTTCCGAAGGGTTGTAACTTTTTACCGATAAGGCACAATAAGCATTTGTTCACACTACCCTTTGTTGTCTATAGATAGAGGGATTTTCTGCCACTATTATTTGTAGGTTTTTCCCCGTTGTAGGGTAGTTGAATTCAAATATATTAATTAAGCTTCTTATGAAGTTTGTTTCATTCCTCAACGTTTTCTTCCTCCTATTTCATGGAGCTAAATCTTTACTATAAGTCATAGTGATCATGTAATTATGACAATTTCTTTTTGCTATTTTGGTGACTTTTTTTTTAACTCTGTTTAAAATTTCAGTAAAGATGATTGAAAAAAAATCTTTTCTTTTGTCCCTTTCTATAGGTTTCTTCATATAAATAAAGAAAATTGATTTTGATTGCAATGCGATATTACTACTCTTGCACCTTTCATTCCACAACTCATAACGCTGTTGAAATGGTTGAATTCATTATATTTGGTTCTTTAGTAAACAAAACTTTTATTTATGTCACTATTATTTCTATGTTTTTTTTCTATAGGGGAGTCAAATTCAAATACATTAATTAAACTTCTTATGAAGTGTGTTTCTTTCCTCATATTTGATGAAGCTTAATTAGTGATTCATGTATCTATTGCAATTTCTATTTGCTAATTTGGTGACTTTTTTGAACTCTGTTAAAAATTCCAGTGGGGATAATTGAAAATTTATCTTCTCTTTTATCCCTTTCTACAGGTTTTTTCATATACCATTTGGGAAAATTGCTTGTGGGTTGTGCTATATTTGATAGCACACAACAAATATGTGATAACTAATATGGAACCAATGATGATGTTTGTTAAAAGAACCAAACATATTACTCTCTTGCTTGCCACAATTAGTATATTATTTTGATTTTTTTTTCTTAGATACAAATAATTCGTATGTCATTGCACTATTACTAGAATATTAGTATAGACACAATTAGTCCACTTCTTTTGTCGCAAGTTAAGTAATTTATCATATTTCTTCGTCTCTTCTTTTTGAACATAATAAGAGATCCAGTTTTATTGAAACTAACAAATGTCCAAAATACACTATAACAAAAATAATTTTTATCGGCAATAAATATGCAAATTAACAAAGTGTGCTAGAGTTTTTACTGACATTAATTAATTATCATTAGATTCAATGTAGCTGTAAACTTTAGGGACATTTATAGAGAGTAACAATTGCCTCTAAAAATACATATTTAGCGACAATTAAGTTATTAATTGTCGTTAAAGATCATTTTTACGGTAGTGATAGCTCTTTATTTCGATAAAGCTTTTTGTTTTATTTTATAAATAAGTAACAACTCTTTCTTTTGGATTATTTCAATTAAATTGTGAACTGTAAACTTGGTTACAGCCCAATAGACTATCTTTTTGAAAAATATGTTAAGCAACATGCCTTTTCCTTCTTGATTGCTAGGAAAGTAAGGTTGTCTTTATTATTAATGGATATTTGTGAGTTCAAGTGCTCACAAAATTATGCTGTGAGATTTTAATATGTTATGTGTCAAAATTTTGGTTTAGAATATCCAGTTGTGAACAGTTCCATTTAGATGCCACCTATTGCTTAGGGCTTACTATAACCATAACAATAACTATGGTTCAGTCCAAATAAGTTGGACCGGTGATATGAAACATAAGCAATAGTAATAACTATTCTAAGACAAAGAGGAAAAACATTTATGATACTAACAATTTTAGGGTTATTTTTAACCTATACATGATACGTCATACTATAATAAAACCAGATTGATGGAGGTTCATAAGAAAGGAGCTGAAGGTCTTCCATTTGAGTTTATTTAATTATGTTCTTGTATGGACGTGATGTTTCACTTTACTTGGGAATGTTGTTGTTCGAGGCTTGTTGGTCTCTTCTTTAACGTCTGATGTTGTTCTTTATAACTTTTTGGAATTTAGCAAATTCATTACTTCTGACCAACTATTTCTATGGAGATTTTCATAGACTTCTTTCTTATACTTCAAATCTCTATGACTCATAATTTTTGTATAACAAAAACAAAATTAAAAAATATAGCACTTTAAGATTTCAGAGGAACGCTTTGCCTTAAGATAAAATGTTCTTAACAGTGTAGTGTATGTATCGAAGATATGAATATTACCGAATGATCATATGTAAGCTTAATAAAACAGTTCAATTTCGTGCGAAGCACGGGTAATTTACCTAGTATATATATAAAAGAGAACCTTAGGCCCGCCTACGTGGCGCCACCACAAACCAGAATTCTCTTTTAATTTATTATTTCCAAAATTATCCTTTCCCTTTCATGAAAAGTTGTGACATTTATGAAAAGTTGTGACTTTAATAATGAGTTGCGACTTTTATGAAAAATTGTGACTTTTATGAAAAATTGCGACTTTAATGAAAAGTTGTGACTTTTATGAAAAGTTGTGATGTTTATGAAAGGTTGTGACCTTTCCGAAGGGTTGCAATTTTTCCAAATAGTTGTAGCCTTTCTGATAAGGCACAATAAACATTCGTTCACACTACCCTTTGTGGTCTATAAATAGAGGGATTTCCTCTCATTTTAAGACAACGAAAATTCTAAACTTCTTCTTCTGCACAATTAAATATTCGTGTACAATTCTTTCCTTTCTGTTTCATCCTATCTTCTTCTTCTTCTTCTTCTTCACAATTAAATATTTGTGTACTTTGCTCCTGTTGAGTGGCTCACTGACACCATTGCTTATGTTACAGATCTTGGTATGTATTTTTACAATCATTAATTTATGCTTATGTTATTAAGGATAAATGATAAGATTTAATAATTTTCCTTCACATTATTAATGTTTGTTACTATGTAATCTTGTATGTAAGATAATATAGTGTTTTAATTTTAATGCCCGATAGGTATTAAGTATTATTTTATAAATTCCATGACATTAAATTCCCACGCGAAGCGCGGGTAATTTTACTAGTTGCAAATAAATGAGAGGTAATTTTTTTAAAGCAACGAGGTATTATTGTTTTTAATTAAAAAAATCAGTTTTAGAATTACAATTTTAACACTATTAAGAAGAATAACTTTTTAATATTAAGAGTATAGTTGGAAAAAAGGTATTATTTTTTGTATTTAATTCCTAAGGTAACACTCATTTTGGGATATTTTTATTGCTAAACCAATACTTATTTGGAATAGAGGGAGTAATTCAATAGATAAAGGTCTATTGACGAAAAAATATATATACACTATTTATTCGACAGTGTTATATAATATATATACAGAATTTTTTAAAGGAGAAATATATTTTCTCTAAATCACAAAATTAAACTATATATTTATTCATTTTCCAAAGAATATTTGAATCTCATTGCACGTAATACAAGATGTCATGGCAATCAAGGATGGAACAAATAATTTTTTCTTCCCTGATGGTCATTTTAAGAATGACCATATCAAATGCTTTACATTTTGTAATAGATCAGATAATAAAAATATATTTTATTGTTTTTTCTAATATTTTTCGTGTGCGTGGTATACTACTGAAGATGAATAAGATGGAAACAATTCTTAACGCTAAATGTTACTACAAGACTATTTTGTGAGACGTAAATAATAAAATGGGGCAAAGTTGACTCTGTTCCTTGAATTTTAGTCGATGGATAATTGATCGTATCACATCCTTTTTATCTCATTAGTTTCTGTGCTTGGAGGAACTCACCAAAATTATGGAGTGTCATCAAGTGCAACTGATTCCTAGTCATTTAGTTAAATAACTCAACATGCATCATTTCTTGCCGCATATGTTAGCAGAAGATAATATCATATCAATTTAAGAAAAGGAAAGCAAGTGTTAATCTATATCTAGTTTAATTTTCGAAGTTGGTCTAATTAGCTCTTGATAAATGAGAATAAGTATATCAATTTAACATAAAAAAGGATGTAACAGGCAATCCAGCGGAAGTTTAGATTTCTTTCATATAATTGAAACCGAAACTGCTCAACTGTTCTAACCATTCCAGACCAGAAACCAGGGAATCAAAGGGTCTGAGCATCCTCACTGACCAGCAATGCCTAAATTTAGATTACAAAACTGAATAAGTTATGCAGTGCCTAAATTAATATAACAAAACTGAATAAGTTATCAGAATGTCTTTAACGAAGTAACAGATATGTTAACAAACTACAGTGCAGTGAGGAAAAAATAAGAACTTTATGCTGGGGACATTGGGCTTGGCTTGATGCCCAACCATTTTTATCTAATTTTTAGTGCAAGTTATCTGAATGATTTTTATATTTTTCTAATCCAATAAATTGCTGTGTACTTATAGTATTAAACTTGTTAATCTTACCATATTCAAATTATTAAACTCTAGTAACAAATAAGAGGTATTTCGAGTTACCTTAAACTATTTCTTGGTAATCCCCTCAATATCCCAGCATATAGAGCTAATTTAGCCTCTTTTTCAGCTTAGGTGTACTCGAAGCAATCTTTCTGAGTCTGCGCTTCAAAGATATTCATTCGTCCTGATAGATCAAATGAACTCCCCACTATTTCACAATGCACCCACAGATAGATGCCTCAAATAGGCTGTACTGGTTAATGTCTCCAACATCAGTGCCAGACACCTGCAGTGAAGCATACAACGGTATGTACGCAAAGCAAACACACTGGCCATAAGTTCTAGATGCTGGGCCCACTTTACATTCTTTCTCTAGCACTTTAAGGTCTTTCAAATGATCATTGCATATCAATTTGGCATTGATGAAAGCATAGTCATACTTCCCAGATAGCCATGAATCAAGACTGCAAACACCTGCCCCCATGCGAGTCACGCAACATATAGCAAAGTCCTTGAACTTATCATTATACCAATTAATGGGCAGTTTGAACGAGATCTTTTTCTCAGCACTCTGATGCATAAACCATTTGGGAATTGCACGTTCAGGAAAGACAATGGAACAAGTTACCCTATGATCAGAGTTAAGAGAGGGAAGGATCACATCATCCATATTGTTAGATAGAAACAGACTGAGAATCTCATCCGAAATTGAGCTATCATTGCTCTCCTCTGTATAAGATTGTTGATCAAAACTATAATTGGTGAATGAGAGCAATTTCAACCTTGGGTACATCAGTAGCTTTGCAATACTTTCTTTTTCCAAAAAATCTTCTACATATAATTCCTCTATATTCCGAGGAAGTAGGGGAAGTTCCTGACAGTGGGCTATATTGAGATATCGAAGGTGAGAAAGTCGGCTGAAGACATCAGGCAAATAAATAAACTTATTTCTGCTCAGGTTCAGTTCCATTAATAAAGAAGTCAAGTTCTTAAGAGCAGAAGCTTGGTCATCACATAAATTACATCCACTGAGATCTAAGCTTTTCAGTTGCCTCAAAGCATGAAACAGACTGGGTAATATCAAACTGCGAGCATATTGATGCTTAACCTTCCGCCCATTTCTTAATGATAGGATCTTGAGTTTGCTTAAGTTTCCAACAGAATCTGGTAGTTGCAAAATGGCAGTGTTGCCAGCATAGAGCTCCTCCAACTGGTTTAGATCACCTAGATTTTCAGGAAAAATTGCAAGTCTTGAGCAGCCTTTCAGAATCAAAATTTTCAGTTTTCTCATCTCACAGACACTGGCTGGGAGTCTTTCAAGGTTTTCACATGATTGCAAATCAAGCAAGCTGATACCACTGAGCTGTCCTATTGATGAGGGCAATTCACAAATTGCAGTACGTGCCAGAAGGACCTCTGATAGCGATTCCATATTCCCTCGAATTTCTGGAAATTTTTCTAATTTCTGACAACCTGAGAGGTTGAAGCTTTCAAGAGATTCCATTTGAATACTACTTGGTAAAGACTTGAGATTTTTGCATTTTTCCAGATTCAAGAAGATAAGCTTTTTGAGATTTCCAATGGATGGATGAATTTCAACCAAACTTTCACAACTTTTTAGTATAATCTTCTGGAGGTTTGGACTCTCACAAAAATTGGGTGTTCGGAGTAAACTTCTTGAAAAACTTAGATTGAGGATTGTCAACTTGTCAAATGCCTGTTCATAAAAAGAGAACAAATAAAAATATCAGCTTTAATTGTCATTTCTTTTCTTTAAATTAAACATGATTCTTTTCTGAAGGAGATGAACAATACCTTTGGATCCTTGAAGAAGAGAACTACAAGTCATAATGAGCCCAACTAGATTTCCCGGATCAAAATCTTCTGGTAAAGATACAAAACTGTAGTATGACCAATCAAGCCATTTCAAGTTACTGGGGAGATACTCAATAGGGTCACAAATAGGGTCATGATGTCAGGCCTCCTCCCCTTTGACAATGAGTAACCTTAGACAAGGCATGTTTTTTAATTCTTTGCTCCACTTGCATATATGACGGTCTGAGCCAATTGGTGCCATTATGCCTTTAATTGACTCTGTCCTCTGGAAAAGAAATTAAAGTAACTTTGTTAAACAGAACATACTTCCAAACATAGAACGTATTCTCCCTAATTTACAAATCTTAATCTATATCATTTTTTGTTGGAATTAATAGGGTGTACTGAGGTTAGGATAATACCGGTAGTATAAGATTTATATGGATTTGCATTATGAGTTCATCCAAATTAATTGAGAACTTCAAATACTCTTACTTCCACTTCCTTTTCATTATGACCCGATAAGAAATCCATTCTCCAATCAATATAAGGTTCGATTTGACATGTGTTACATTAGGAGGTCTTCCCTATCAACCAATTAAGCTAAAATTTGAACATATCAAAGAATCAAAATTTTGCATTACTTTTTAAAAATAAAGCTCTTATAAATCTAGAAGTTTGTATATCATGTTCCTAAATAATAGTTCCTCACAAATTTATTTTGTAAGGGTCGTTTCGTTGGGAACAAGTTATCCCAAGACTAATTATCCTGGGATAACTTATCCCACCATGTATATGAAATAACTTATTCCATCACTATGATATAAATGGTGGATAAGTTGTCCCAAACATGGCAACCAAACAAGATAGCAAAATTTTATCCCTGGACTATTTATTTCTATCCCTCACACCAAACGACCCCTAAGAGGGAGATAATTTTGCAACAAACTATTTAACAAGACAAAGATTACTATAAGCTAGTACCAAATTGTCATCAATAAAAGTACTTTCAAGGTAGGAAAGAAAAAGAAGTAACAACAATAAAAAAAAAAACAAATTATTCAGAATGTAAATATATAATAAAATCACTACATGAGGAAGAGAACGAGAAAAAGAACACGGCATGTTCTGCGCTAGCCCTCATGTGGGTACTTTGGAGGGAAAAGACTAGGATAACTTTTGAAGAGAAAGAACATGAGTTTGTACGGTTTAGGGCTTGCCTTTATTTTTGCTTGATTTTAAGAGCACCCACAAAGTTCTTGTAGGAATAGATGACTGGGTGTCATGGCAGACAACCATTTTATTGCAGCCCATTTTAATTTGCCCGGTGAATTGATGCGGTAAATCTAAGGTGAGGTGTCATGGTGTATGTTATTTAGAGATGACTTAGTTCTGATTGACAAGACTGTCAGAGGAGTTAATGCTAAGTTGGAGGTCTGGAGACAAACCTTGGAGTATAAAAGGGTTTAGGTTGATTAGGACCAACATAAATACTTAAGCGCATGTTCAGTAACGTAACACACGACGCAGGCGTGAACGTGAGGCTTTATACCCAGGCTATCCAAAAGAAAGGAAGTTTCATTTATGTTGAACTTATTATCCAAAGTAAGGGGAAGATTGATGATGATCTCAGACATCATATTGGTGCAGGGTGGATGACATGGAGGCTAACTTCCAAAGTCTTGTATGATAAGAAAGTGCCACCAAAACTTAAAGACAAGTTCTGCAGAGTGGTGGTTAGCCAAACTATGTTGTACGGAGTGGAATGTTTGTCGGTCAGTAACTCTCATATTCAAAAGATAAAAGTTGTGAAAATGAAGATGTTGAGATGAATGTTTGGGGATACTAGGAGAGATAAGATTAGAAATAATGTATGCGGGACAAGGTAGGAGTGGCCTTGATCGAGGACAAGATGCGGGAAGCGAGGTTGTGATGGTTTGGGCATGTGAAGAAGAGATGAATAAATGCTCTAGTGTAGAAGGGGGAGAGGTTGGTTATGAATGGTTTCAGGAGAGGTAGAGATAGGCTGAGGAAGTATTGGGGAGAGGTGATTAGACAGAATATGACACAACTTTTGGGTAGAAGGTAAGTTAGGTAGTTGAGTGTTATCTCACTTATCCTTCCGTACTAATAGTCGTAGTACTATTGTAACAACTAAAAATTTGGTGAGTTTGGGTTGAAAGGTGTAAGGTAGGTTAACTGGCAGGTCCACAGACCTTAGCTCAACCGTGAACCTTTCAGAATGACCTAAGCGGCCCGTGGAAGGGTTGACGACCCGTTTAGGGGAAAGAGGGTGCCCGTTTAGGCAACCCAAAATTTAGCCCCCAACTTCATGACCCCTTCACGGACTGTGAAGGGCTAAACAGTTCGTGAAGGCTCCCTTACAGGTCTCTCATCAGCTTTTTGAGTTGGGGCTATTTTAGTCATTTCCTATGCGTCTAGTACCAAAGCTATGTCGTTTTAACCCCTATTATAAGCCCTATATAAGTATTTTAATTCCTAAAACTACCCATTCTAAAATCATTCTCCTAAATCCCATATTCCCTCTAAGTTCTTCACCAAAGTTCTCTCTACAGCTAAGAAAGAAGTAAGGGTTTCACTTCAAGATCTCTGATTCATCATAGCACTTGGGTCTTAGTTACTACAGTATGTTAGTATTCACCTATGAAGTCCTTTCCTTTATAGGATTCCCAAGATCTTCCAATTTTACAAGTTCAATTCTCAATTCAAAGTTAGGGTTTTATTCAATCTTCATGTGTTCTACTCAATTATAATTCAATTAATTTTTTTTCTATCTTTTATGCATGAATTGAGGTATTTACATGATTTTGAGTTGAATTCATATGAACCCATGCATGATCCATGATCTTAGACTATGAACACATAATGAAGCTTATAAACTATGAATTTATAAAGATATGCATGCTTTTATGAAATTGATGTAAATGATTTGAGGAAGCTTTGAGATGAAAGTATCAATGTTGTTGTGAAAGGCTTTCTCACATACTACTATGATCATGATTGTGAAAGGTTTTCTCACATAAGGATTCATAAGGTTGAAAGGTTTTCTCACCTAAATTGAATCAAGTTTTAGGAGTTATTTAGTTTGGATTGGTTACTTAATTGTGTCTTTCCAAATGAATATGATTAATGACTATTCCGTGAGATTTTATTTAGCACCGAGAGGATATTGAGATGGAGGCTCTCCCGTTAGTAGAGGTCGGGTCTCTAGTAGCAATCTTCGTGTCCCTAACTATGTGCCCTGTAGGATGTCTTAGCTAGTGGATTCACGTAAGCTAGAAGTTTAAGGTTGTTATCTTGGCAAGCAATGACATCTCTTTACGGTGTGGGATAGACACCGGATTCCATGTTGTAGCTCACATGGTCTATGTTGGTTAATGGTTAACATCCCACAATAATGAACTAGGTTACTTTCAAAGTATCTCACAAAGTGTTAAGCTTGCATTGACCATAATTTACGACTTGTGTTTTCTAACCCTTTTATCTTATGATTTAGCTTGGTCATTGCATGTCATATTAAAGTCCTTTTTAGTCATGATTTCATATCTTTTATGCATTGCTATCATACTTAGTACATTCCATGTACTAATGCATACTTGTGCCTACATTGTTTCACTAATGTAGGGTCCGACGCTCCTCCTCCGCATACTTGTGGCTAGTTGATCTCATTGACAATTCCAAGATCAAGAGTTGGTGAGTCCTCATATTCTAAGGACCATGGCACTTTTATCGCTTTCTTTACCTCCTAAGGTAGAGGGTAAGGTCTACTTATTCTAGAAGTTTATACATCAGGTTCTTAAATGATATATATTAATATAAACCAATACCAAATCGTCATCAGTAAAAGTACTTTCAAGGAAGGAAAGCAAAAAAGAAACAACACTAAAAAATACACGACAAATTATTCCATATGTAAATAAATATATAATAAAAACATTACACGAGGACAGGGAAGAGAAGAAGAACATGGTATGTTTTGTGCTAGCCCTCATATGGGTACTTTGGAGGGAAAGGACCAGGAGAACTTTGAAGAGAGAGAACGTGAATTTGTATGGTTTAGGTCTTGCCTTTATTTTTTCTTGATTTTAAGAGGAACCACAAAGTTCTTGTAGGAATAGATGATTTGGTGTCATTGGTAGAGAACCATTTTTGTGCAACCCATATTTATTTGCCTGGTGATAGATGAATTGGCGTGGTAAATTCAAAGGGAGGTGTCATGGTGTATGTTATTTACAAATGACATAGTTCTGATTGACAAGATTAGCGACGGAGTTAAAGCTAAGTTGGAGATTTGGAGACAAACCTTGGAGTCTAAATGGATTCAGATTGGGTAGGACCAAGATAAAATACTTAAGTACAAGTTCTACGTAACACACGAGGTTGGCGTGGAAGCAAGGCTTGATACCCAAGCCATCCAAAATAAAGGATTCAATTATCTTGAGTCTATTATCCTAAGTAATGAGGAGATAAACGATGATCTCACACATCATATTATTGCAGGGTGGATGAAATGGAGGCTTACTTCTAGAGTCTTGTATGATAAGAAAGTGCCATGAAAACTTAAAGGCAATTTCTATAGAATAGTAGTTAGGCCAACTATGTTGTATGGAGCGGAATTTTGGCTAATCAAGAACTATCACATTCAGAAGATGAAAGTTGTGAAAATGAGGATGTTAAAATGGATATGTGGGCATACTAGGAGAGATATAATTAGAAATAATGATATGTGGGACAAGGTAGGAGTGGCCTCGATAGAGGATAAAATGCGGAAAGCGAGGTTGTGATGGTTTGGGCATGTGAAGTAGAGATGCTCTACTGCAAAATTGGGAGAGGTTGGCTATGGATGGTTTCAAAAGAGGTAGAGGTATGCCGAGAAGTAGTGAGGAAAGGTGATTAGATATGCCACGACACAGCTTCAGTGGGTAGAATGTTAGTTGGTAGCGGAGTATTATCTCGTTTATCCTTCCATACTAGTAGTCGTAGTACTACTCTTGTTGTTTCTTGTTATTTGATCTTTGTTACTATTAAATGTTTCGTGTACTTAAATTATCATATTATTTTATTTTAGCTTTTTTTAATGTTTTGTCATGATTTCTTCGCTTTCGCTTTTTTCCCACTTGTTTGAGATGCTTTTACTTGAGTCGAGGGTCTATTGGAAACAACCTCTCTACCTCCCAAGGTGGGCTAAGGTCTACTTACACTCTACATTCCCTGGATCCCACTTATGAGATTACACTAGTATGTTGTTGTAAAAGTCCATCATAAGAACAAATAAGACCTATGAATAAATAGAAGTTAGCACACTCATTTTCTATTCGACATTTAATGTTCAGGATGATAAAATCTAAAATTGCAAAATCATAATTAGAACTAGAACTCTAGTAAATGGATATTGAGTAAGCTACTCTAGTTGAAATCTGTAGATGGCACATCCAGTAATCTATGAAACTAATCTTCTTAATTGGTGGCTACATGCATCCTTGTGTGCAAAGTAATATGGAAGAACAAATTCGAACATACAAGGCTATATTTGTTGCCAAGATATTACATAATTTAATAAAGATACTATCCCATGAGATGCAGTTTAGATTGAGAAAAATGTGCTAGATCTGAAGTTTGTTCAAATTCAGATATCTAATCCCATTGAAGCCACATAATGAAAGAGAGAGAACGGAAATCTCCAGCATAGAGGAATTCTTACCTGATCTGCAGAAAAAAACAGTTTTTATATCTTGTTCATGCCATAGTCTACTGTGATTCCATGGCTTGTCATGGTCCACATTGCGTGCCACTCGCTGACCCATTTGTTCTATCAAATCATGCATATCAACCATTCCTTCTGAAATATATAAAAGAGACTTTTGGATGAGGACATCAATTCCAATCTCTGATTGGAAGCCAAAACTGTTCAGTATTGTTATCACATTATCTTTCTTTCGTCCTCTAAAGAAACATGCAATATCAAGAAAAGCATTCTTCTCTTCATGGTTCAATCCATCTAGAGTCTAGACTTAAACTGACCTAGACTTTCCAACTTAATTCTTGAATATTAACAGCCTTTTAGTGATTGTTGTCGATGGGCGTAGACTTGAAGTTTAAAACTAATTTTATCTATTATTAGCTAAAGATTCTAAAGCATAAGAGAAATAAAAAGATTGAAGTCTTAATCACATCCAAGCTTAAATTTCGATTTTGAGGCGTCATCATTAACAAGATGCAACTCCTTAATTATAATTCCAATTACCTACTACCTTTTTTTTGTTTCCCACCTAGTGCCTTGAATCAGTTCTGGGGCCTGACTAATATGAATTTGAGAGGGTAAATCCTATTTTGAGGGGTTAAGTGCCTCCTACCAAAGGCAACTCCATTCTCAAGGCTTGAATCCGAGAGCTCTGGTTTAGGATATAGGGGTACTTACCACCCTATCACAACCTTTGATGGTGCCTAAGAGAGTCTTTAGTTTTCTAAAAAAACTACTACTACATTCATATTAGTTTAATTCTTAATTGTAATATTATTCAGTAAATTTAACAAGTAAGAGGTACTATTACGCTTTAGATTTTGAAGATTTGTTACACAACTATCTCTACTATTAGGTTCCCCCTTGAAGGTCAGTATCAACTACTTTATTTCAAATTGGTTACAACAAAATAATGAGAATATACAATCTCAACAATAATGTGATTTAAAATGTAAAGATTATATTGGTATAATTTCATCTAATTTTGAGTTCAAGTTATCAGATTAACTCTTATATCTTTTTTAAATCTGTTAAATGCCATTTTCTTATAATTTTAATGTAATTATTGATTTGCCTTATTAATTCATTATTGCTAAGAAAATCATTATTTTTGCCTAATCTTTTCCAACATTACTAACCTAATACTTAGCCACATTGAAATTAAATTGTTAATCTAACTGTATTCAAACTATCAAACTTTAATAATAATAGGTATTTTGAGTTACCTTAAACTTGGTTTCTTGGTAATTACCTCAATATCCCAGCATATAGAGCTAATTTAGCCTCTCTTCCGCTTAAGTCGTGTGAAACCAACAATTTCGTATATTTTTGAAAAAAATGTTCTTTCATCCTCATAGATCATATGAACTCCCCACTGTCTCGCAATGCACCCATGCATAGATGCCTCAAATAGGCTATACTGGTTAATGTCTCCAACCTGCAGTGAAGAATACAATGGTATGTAGGCGAAGCAAACACACCAGCCATATGTTCTAGATGCTGTGCCCACTTTACATTCTTTCTCAATCACTTTAAGGTCTTTCAAATGATCATTGCATATCAATTTGGCATTGATGAAAGCATAATCATACTTCCCAGATAGCCTTGAATTAGGACTGCAGACACCTGCTCCCATGAGAGTCACACAGCATATAGCAAATCCCTTTAACTTATCATTATACCAATTACTGGGCAGTTTGAACGAGATCTTTTCCTCAACACCCTGATGCATAAACCATGTGGGAATTGCACGTTCAGGAAAGACAATGGAACAAGTTACCCTATGATCGGAGTTAAGAGTGGGGAGGATCACATCATCCATATTGTTTGATAGAAACAAACTGAGAATCTCATCTGAAATTGAGCTACCATTGCTCTCCTCTGTATAAGATTGTTGATCAAAACTATAATTGGTGAATGATACCAAATTCAACCTTGGGTACATCCGTAGCTTTTCAACACTTTCTTTTGCCAAAAAATCCTCTACATATAATTCCTCTATATTCTGAGGAAGTAGGGGAAGTTCCTCAAGTTCCTGACAGTGTGCTATATTAAGATATCGAAGGTGAGAAAGTCGCCTGAAGATAGCAGGCAAATAAATAAACTTATTCCTGCTCAGATTCAGTTCCAATAAAGAAGTTAAGTTGATAAGAGCAGAAGCTTGTTTATCACATAAATTACATCCACTGAGATCTAAGCTTTTCAATTCCCCCAAAGAATGAAACACCCAGGGTAATATCAAACTGCGAGCAGATTGATGCTTTACCTTCCACCCTTTTCTTAATGAAAGGATCTTGAGTTTGCTTAAGTTTCCAATAGAATCTGGTAGTTGCCAAATGGCAGTGTTGCCAGCATAGAGCTCCTCCAACTCGTTTAGATCACCTAGATTTTCAGGAAAAATTGCAAGTCTTGAGCAGCCTTTCAGAATCAAAATTTTCAGTTTTCTCATCTCACAGACACTGGCTGGGAGTCTTACAAGGTTTTCACATGATCGCAAATCAAGCAATCTGATACCACTGAGCTGTCCTATTGATGAGGGTATTTCACAGATTGCAGTACGTGCCAGAAGGAGCTCTGATAGCAATTCCATATTCCCCCGAATTTCTGGAAAGTTTTCTAATTTCTGACAACCTGAGAGGTTGAAGCTTTCAAGAGATTCCATTTGAATACTACTTGGTAAAGACTTGAGATTTTTGCAGTTTTCCAGATTCAAGAAGATAAGCTTCTTGAGATTTCCAATGGATGGATGAATTTCAACCAAACTTACACAACTTTTCAGTATAATCTTCTGGAGGTTTGGACTCTCACAAAAATTGGGTGTTCGGAGTAAACTTCCTGAAAAACTTAAATTGAGGATTGTCAACTTGTCAAATGCCTGTTCATAAAAAAGAAGGAATAGAAACATCAGCTTTAACTGTCATTTGTTTTCTTTAAATATGATTCTTTTTTGAAGGAGATGAACAATACCTTCGGTTCCTGGAAGATTTCAACAAGAGAACTAAAAGTCATGTTGAGCCCAACTAGGTTTCCTGGTTCAAAATCTGCTGGTAAAGAAGCAAAACTGTAGTATGACCAATCAAGCCATTTCAAGTTACTGGGGAGATACTCAATAGGGTCACAAATAGGGTCATGATGTCGGACCTCCTCCCCTTTGACAATGAGTAACCTTAGACAAGGCATGTTTCTGAAAGCTTTGCTCCACTTGCATATATGACGGTCTGAGCCAATTGGTACCATTATGCCTTTAATTGACTCTGCTCTGGAAAAGAAATTAAAGTAACTTTGTTAAACAGAACATACTTCCAAGCATAGAACCTATTTTCCTTAATATACAAATCTTAATCTATATCATTTTTTGTTGGAATGAGTAGGTGTACTGAAGTTAGGATAATACGGGTAGTATAAGATTTATATCTGTCTTTGCAGTATAAGTTCAGTCAAATTAATTGAGAATTTCAAATATTCTTATTTCCACTTCCTTTCCATTATGACCCGATAATAAATCCACTCTCCAATCAATATAAGGTTCGATTTGACATATGATAACATTAGGATGTCTTTCCCTATCAACCAAAAAAAGCTAAAATTTGAACTTATCAAACAATATCCTGTAAGAGGGAGAAAACTTTGTGACAAACTATTTAACAAGACAAATATTACTATAAACTAGTACCAAATTGTCATCAATAAAAGTAGGGTAGAAGGTAGGTTAGGTAGTTGAGTGTTATCTCACTTATCCTTCCATACTAGTAGTCGTAGTACTAGTCTTGTTGTTTTTTTGTTATTCGATCTGTGTTACTGCTAAATGTTTCTTGTACTTCAATTATCGTATTATTTTGTTGTAGTTATTTTTCATTGTTAAAAATGTTTTGACATGCTTTCTTTACTATTTTGTCATGACTTCTTCACTTTCGTTTTTTTCCGAAACTGCTTTGAAATTCTTTTACTTAAGTCGAGGGCCTATTGGAAACAACCTCTCTACCTCCCAAGGTAGAGGGTAAGGTCTACTTACACTCTACCCTCCGTGGACTCCACTTGTGGGATTACACTGGGTATGTTGTTGTAGAAGTCCATCATAAGGACAAATAAGACCTACAAATATATAGAAGTTAACACACTCATTTTCTATTCGACAATAAATGTTCAAGATGATAAAAATCTAAAACTACAAAATCATAATTAGAACTAGAACTCTAGTAAATAAATATTCAGTAAGCTAGTCTAATTGAAATCTTTAGGTGGCGCATCCAGTAATCTATGAAACAGAATATGCAACTAATCTTCCTAATCAGTGGCTACATGAGACATCCTTGTGTGCAAAGTAATATGGAAGAACAAATTTGAAGCTAAGAGGCCATATACTTGTTGCCAACATATAACATGATTTAATTAAGAAACTATCCTATGAGATGCAGTTTAGATTGAGAAAAATGTACTAGTGCTAAAGTAAGTTGTAAAATTTGGATGTCTACTTTCAGTGAGGGAAAATAATGCAAAAGAAAAAATGGAAATCTCCAGCAGAGGACATGCTTACCTGATTTGCAGAAAAAACAGTTTTTATGTCTTGTTCATGCCATAGTCTACTGTGATTCCATGGCTTGTCCTGATCAACATTGCGTGCCACTTGCTGACCCATTTGTTCAATCAAATCATGCATCTCAACCATTCCTTCAGAAATATATATGAGTGATTTTTGGATGAGGACATCTGTTCCAATCTCTGATCGGAAGCCAAAACTGTTCAGTATAGTAATCACATCATCTTTCTTTCTTCCTCGAAAAAAGCATGCAATATCAAGAAATATATTCTTCTCTTCATGGTTCATACCGTCTAAACTTAAACTGAGCTGCTTAACAATTTTTTCATATCCAGTATCTGTGAGTCTATCTAATGCACTTCTCCACTCAGTTATACCTCGCTTGTAGAGAAAAGAACCCAAGACCTTAAGTGCTAAAGGTAAGCCTTTAGCATAATCTACTACAGATTTGGAGAGTTTCAAAAACTCTTTATAAGGAGTTGGTATCTGAAAAGCGTGCCAACTAAAAATTTCAATAGCCTCATCTTTAGCCAATTCAGGAACAGAATATAACTGGTCATGACTACGTAGTAAATCTTGGTTTCTAGTTGTTGTAATGATTATACTGCCATCACCAAACCAGTCATGATTTCCAACTAAATATTCCAATTGGTGTTCATCATCCACATCATCAAAAACAATTAAAACTTTCCAGCGGCAAAGCTTTGTTTTTATCATGTCGGCTCCTTCATAAAAACTTGATATATTCATTGCTTTTTCTTTTAAGAGTCCTGAAAGAAGTGTCTTTTGCAAGTACATCAGCCCATGCTTCTTTGATTCTTCTCTAACATTCGCAAGAAAACAAGACCCTTGAAATTGATGAGAAACCTTGTCAAAATATTTTCTTGCAACAGTTGTCTTCCCAACGCCTCCGATCCCCCAAATTCCAATAAAACAGACATCACCTGATCGAAACTTCAGTAATGATTCTACTTCACCCACACGAGATTCGATTCCCACTAGATATTTTTCAGTTGCTGAAACGGTGTGGTGCATATTTCGGAAGTTATCATTTATAATCTTGTCAATAGAATCTGCTTCATTCCTGCATTCAGTAAAAATAAAATAATAAAAATGGAACATTTGAAACACAAGAAATGTTAAAATAGCCAAAAGCAGTCCATATTCCATCCATTGCTTCTCCACGAATTGTCTAATATGTGAGAGGGAACAGGGTCTTCAAATTAACAAGAAATCTCGTTTGAAGTTTCTCCTTCAATAGTTGCCTTCTCTATGCAATCCATTTCCATTATCACATCCACTTTCATTTACATTGTCAGCAAAAATCACGCTTCTCCCAAACAAGATTCAATTGCAACTAGATTTTTGTCAATGTCAGATACTATGGTACTCAATCATTGTAATAAGTTCTCATATTCTTTATAAGTAAGAAGGATTGAGTTCAGATAATGCTCATGAATTGAAAAAAAATCCATTTTATTACGTACAATCAACATATTCTTCTGTAAGCTATAAATTGCGCCTACTACTGTACCAGTACAAACCAGGATAGCCTGATCTAGTAATTGATCATATGACACCTTTTTTTTGGACAAAGAAGCTCAAGGTGAAGTTCAATAAAAAGGAAATATAATAATTAAAAATATCAAAACCCAATTTTCCTCTCCCCCAGCTTCTTCTTCTTTTCCACAATTTCACCTTTTAATAATAGTACAGCTCAATATAAAATGCACAAAATAACTTTGTTGGTTTCTCAGCAAGTCCGGTAGCAAAAGCAATCAAACAAACCACATCGAATGAATGCTATTTTAGCAATTAAGGGTAAATTAGGAAATTTGATCTTTTAGCATTTGGACATGGACAATAAATACACCTTACCTGCTCAAAAGCAATTGAATTGCACGCATGTTGCCAGGTCATATCAAGGGGTTCAAAAGACACACTTGTGCCAACAAAAGGTGTCTATGGCCACTAAAATAATTGAAGCGTCTACATGACCATCGCTGACAAGTTTAAGGGGTTATCTATGTAAGACGAAAGAGTATATATTATTGACCATGCAATATTAATTACTCCTGTTAATGAGTTTTTGTATTGCAATCTACGTTTTACTACTCTATTAGCAGCTCACAACTTTGGGACCCAGAGAAGAAAGCATCAAATTTCACTGGAAGTAATTTCACTTGATTACTCTCACAGTCAAGTACATGGATGTTGACTAATTTAAACATTCATACACATTCATGAGCCTAGTGACATGCAAAACACAAAATTGAAGTTTCACTCAAAACTAGAATATAGAAGCATACTGTAACCAAAATTATGTCCTGTTCACATGATTCTGTTCTCTCTTGAATTCCACCCCTACCCCTCCACCCATCCCCAATAAAAAGATCTGTTAATGAGTTGATCTTAAGTGTATTTTAGCCCAAAAGCTTGTATTGCACATCCAATTGAATGGTATTTTCAGAAGGTAATTTAATCTTTTAAAGTAAAAGAGAGAGACTTTCTTATGAGTAAAAGAAGAGGGGTCTTTGAAATACTCTCAAGTAGAGTCGGAGTTTTTGGTTACTTATCAGAAATTGTATAATAAACTGACCCCTGGTGTTTTCATGATGTTCTCTTTTGATAAAGTAGTAATTTTATTGATTTTTTGGGCAAAGGCATCCATAACAAGAATTATACCAAAAAGTAGAAAACCTACAAAAGTTTACATGCTATTCTTAAAAGCATGTTTATTTCAAAGACTAAGGAAACCATTGGAACTTTGCATAACATTTCCCAAAAAATGAAAAGATGTCCCAATAATTAAGTGGAAACTCTAGGGATCTTTTACTACTCACCCATTAGCAGTTTTACGAACATCCAGTCCTGCTATTCCAGCAGCTCTATGTAGAGCGTCTTTCCACCTCTGCACCTTCTCCAAATTATCCTTGTGATTTGTCTCATCTTTTATCCTGAGAGCAAGATCTGCCTCGTGTTTGGTTGCCAACTTCTCAAAATTAGCCATGAAATCTTCCCTGTGTTTTTCCAGCGCTTTAGCAAAGCTGCTGCTCTCAGCTTCACAGAGAGATTAAAATGTTAATTTCAGTTACGTATGTATTAGCTATAGAAGAAAAAATATTAAAATAATGATTAGAAAAGTTATCTTGAAAGAGAATTTAAGTTTGATAATTTAAATAAGTCAGAACAATAAATAATATTATTAGTGAAGTGTTACTATCAACGAATATTTCTGATGACTTACCTTTCATGCGTATATCTGATGGCTCGACGTTATAGAAGACGGGATATACTTTCTGTTCCTTCTTGTCAACACAATCCATAATCATTGTGAGTTCCTCCAAGCACCAAGTGGATGAAGCATAGTCCTCGGAGAAGATAATAATGGCAGTTCTTGATTCATTAATGGCTTTCAAGAGTTCAGTTGAAATGAACTTTCCTCTTTCAAGTTTCACATCATCTTTGAATACATTGATTCCTATGTCTTGGAGACGTTTATAAAGATGGGCAACAAAGTTTTTGCGGGTGTCATCTCCTCTAAAACTCAAAAAGGCATCATATTTCCACTTTTGACTCACTTCATTTTTGGGAGCCACGTAAAATGTATGAGTTCTGGTAATCTGCAAATATATATACACGCAAGACGAGGTAAAGACTTGGGAGTAGAGCCCATAAGCAAAGCAAATTAAGTAGATAAAGAAGAAAAGGGAATCTCAAGGAAGGTTGACTTAAAACAATGATTTATACATTAACAGAAAGACAGAAGAGGCTAGCATGTCAAATTGCCCTCTCTGCAAAATAAAGTAGACGACAACATCATTAACTACATTCTCAAAAAAAAAACATCATTAACTATGTTCCAATCGTAAGCTAATTTTGGGGTCTGCTATATTCCGTTTAATTTGGACTAGATGTTGGATAATTTGTAATATAGAGAGGTCATAAATTGAATATACACATTTGTTCATGAAAGAACATGACTATTATAAAAAGTTTGTTCATGAAAGAGCATGACTACTGTTATATTCTAGGTGTTTTGATGATCCTCACAAATGCAGGGACCTGGTCCCTGGCAGAGTGCTCTCGTCCAGATTCAAAATGGGGTACAGCTGTAAAGCTGTCATGTCAGGTGATAGGTGAAAAGTGTAGTATACTGCACCAATAGGAAGAGTAGACAAGACTGTCTGCTTCAATGGCTCACAATTGCAGGGACCCGGTCCCTGGCAAAGTTCTCTCGTCCAGATTTATAATGGTGAACAGCTGTAAAGCTATCCTGTCAGAGGTTGGTGAGGCATTAGCGTACTACACCAATCAAAATAGACGAGGTTATTTGTCCAACGGTCAATAACTCTTTATGGTTGATTTAATCAACATGACAAACAACAAATTAAATCATTCATTCAAAAGGAGAGAGAGCCAGCAAGTCTTCTCAAGAACTCACTAAGAAAAGTTTGCAAGGGACCTGGTCCCTGCAAGAATGCGTATGTGAAAAGACGACAAGACAGCTGTCAGAAAAGCTGCCACCTCTGATGTGGTAGGTGCACGTCTTTCTAGAGAAGCAGGCTCTCAGCCAATGGGCGGTTCCAAGGAGTTTGTCTTTTTGATATAGTCTCTTCTCCAAAACACAAACTTAAGATTTGGCAAACAAAAATTCTTAAGCTTACAAAGAGAAAGCCATCTTCAAGGAAGAACACTGCTCAACTCAACAATGGGACCTGATCGAGTGAAGAAGAGTCTTGTTGTATTTTGAGTTTTGTGTCTTATGTGCTTACATTGTAAATCTACTCCTAAGTTATAAAGGATAGTAGATCATTTGCCTGTCTAAATATTTAATTTGAGTAGTATTAACTAGAGTTAGTTAGTTGAATCTTCTAAGTTTTAGTCAAGCCTTTTTACACCATTGTTTTGGTGTTCTCTTGGGTAGAGTTACCTAGGAGTGTCAACTAGAGGTAGTTGATGTGTGGTGCAGTAGAGTTGCTGCTTGTTTAGCTCCTGCCTTGGAGATCGGAGTTGGTGGCTAGAGTTAGCCTTGGGGGTTCTTAAAGTCTAGATCAACTAGAGTTGGTTGGTTTAGTGGGCAATAGGATTATTGTTTTGGCTCGGTTAAGTAATAGGAGTATTACTTAGTGTGGGATTAGGGTGTTAATCTGAATGCAACTACCACCACTCCGACTAACCACTCACGACATACCCTTGATTCTTCTTCATTACCACTCAACTCTTGACCCATAGTACATTATATCAAGGCCTATTAACTGTTAAATACGAATCTCTTTCCCAATGTCGGATTTACCTATTTATTTACATCCCGAACACTACCTCTGATTCTCAACTTTTAAGAACACGAACAAACTTTCTACATAACCAATAGCAACTGCTGGACCTTCGATCCCCACTCACCGTATCACATCCCGATTTGGGTCAGACCATCTACGGTTTATTCAATAACAAGATAATTCACAAGTATACACAACATAGTAGAATGCTCATTTATAGAATACAATAATCAGTTGTCAATTCAAGAGCAATGTACAATCCACATTCTCAATAACAATTAGATATGTCATTACAATGGTCCTCTCATGGAACCTATACCCAAACTGTTAGTGTGTCGGAACGTGACACCAGATCCAATGTATGTATGTGTGTTGGTACGTGACACTCGATCTAATATATGTATATGTGTTGGTAAGTTACACCCGATGCAATATATGTATGTGTATGTATGTGTGTCAGTACGTGACACCTGATCCAATGCATGTATAATATCGGTACGTGACACCCGATTCAATGTATATATATGTGTCGGTACGTTACACCTGATACAATGCATGTATATGTGTTGGTACGTGACACCTGATCTAATATATGTATATGTATCGATACATAACACCCGATCCAATGTATGTATATGTGTCGATATGTGACACTCGATCCAGTTAGCACAATTACAATCATATCCATAATGAACATACTCATAATCATACAACCAAGTATTAGGTTCATGGCATGCAATTGTTTATATTTTAGTCTTTTCCTTAAGCTCGATTCATAATTCTCAATTTCATACATGTATGCATATAACGAAGCCATTAACAAGTTTATATCACACAAACATGGATCAACCATCATCTAACCCTAACTCACCGAGCGGGGATTTCCCCTATGGTACACATCTTATGTAACAGCTAGGATCACAGGTATAATCATCCCTTATTCGGTGCACGAAGGCCTACGCGTGAATTCTACCATATAGCTCCAATTCCAGGCTCCCGAACGACGAGACGGTGATTTTTTACCGGAATCCGCAATCTATCGACATCCTTACGTTAGAAATCTCTTTCTTCTTTCCTCCCAAGCCTAAAGCAGCCTTTGGAGGGTTTATGGGGTGATCCTCGCCTATTTTTGGTGTTTTGGGAAAAAAGAGAAAATAAGACTTCGCGTTATTTAAATATTGTCCCATCCATCCTGCTTTGGCGGCTACTTAACTCGCTAGAGCGCCAGCGCCCTGGCAGCACTTGGCCCACTCTAGCGGGCAAATGGGCCTAGTTTCCCCAACATTTTTCGTTTCCTAATTAACAACGGTTCGGGTCGTTACAAGTAGTTAAAAACAGGGCTATGAAAGTAAATGGGTAGTTCTCATAAATAGATCTCTTTTTAGGATACAAGTGTTCTTTTCCCTGGAAGAAAAATAGGTGAAAAAAATATGTAATTTACATAAATCTCATAGTGTTAAGAGCTAATTACATTATTTTCCAATTATTTTTTTCAAATTACAAAAATCCCTTAAAATTTATGAATTTTGGATATATCACTTGAACTTTCAGATACATTACTGGACTTCCGGATACATCACTGGACATCCAGATACATAGAGACGGTATGTATCCAAGAGGGGAGTGATGCATCAGAGAGAGATAGGATATTTGTATACATAGGGGGAGAGATATATCAAAGAAGAGATGGATGTATCCGAGAGAGGGATAAATATGTTTCAGCGAAAGAAGAGTGATGTATATGAGAGGGGGATAAAAATGTATCAGCGAGAGGAGAGTGATGTATCCGAGAGGGGGATATGGATGTATCAACGAGGGTGGCTTTCCAAGCAGGTCACCCTGGTAATTGGATTTAGTGTAATTGGTGTAATTACACTGTTTGTCCTGTTTGATTGGCCACATAATTACCTGGTCGGTAGGTAATTAGGTGTATTACACTCTCTAGTTCACGTGGGGGGAGGGGGTTGTGAATTGCTTGTAGTTACAAGTTGATTACTTTTTAATTTCTTTCTTTTATTTCTATTTTTGTCATTGTAGTGTATTTTTAATTTTTATTATTTTAAATTCTTTTTAATTTTTATTATTCTAATGTTTTCTAAAAATATTTTTATTTTATTTTATATTATTTATATTTCATTTTCTTTTCATTCTCACACATTTACTTTATGTGATTCCAATTTTCACGCATTTTTTTATATTATCTGGAAAAAAATTCATTAGTATAATTTTGTTAGTATTTTAATTTTAAAATTAATGTAGAATTCATTGTTAAATAAACTTATGGACTTACATTTTCCTTTTCTTTTGAATCTTATTTTGTGTATGTTATGCTGAAATTTGACAAAAGAGCACTATGTTAAAATTTTTAAACTTTTGTTATATTTTCAATTTCATTTGTTTTAGGAGTATTGACTCGATTTCTTACATTGTAGGCTATTTAAAGTTAGACGTGATAGATTATTTTTTTGTCAAATATTTTATAATTTTATGACATTATATTTATAATATTAATCCTTTTGTCAAACATGTATTTCATGATGTTCATACTTTATAGAAAATTTATATTTTTACCTTTTTATGATTAATTTAATTAAAATATACTAAACTGAAAAATACAAATCAATTATTTTTTATAATATTAGTTAAGAACATATGTTTATTAATTAACATATTTTCAAAAGACAATATATCTTAAATATTCAATTTTATATCATTTATAAAAGCTCTTATTTATCTAATATAAATTTTTAATTTTAAAAGTTAATATAACCCTGTGATTACAATTGTACAACCGAACAGTATAATTATGTCAAACAAATAAGTCAATATAATTACGTTACGTAATTACTTGGCTTATAATTATTACCTGATCTCCAAACACACTTAATAATACTGAAAGTTTCGCACCAACTATTTTGTGAGACGGATAAATGAGGAACTGGAGCAAAGTTGTCCGGTTGACTCTGTTTCTTTAGTTTTATATTAGTCAATGGATAATTGCTTGTATTCGCATATTCTTTTACCTCATTAGTGTTTTGCTTCACTTCTTCTTTTTTTCCGTTAGTTTTCACCATGGATTCCCAGAAAGAAGCGAACCAAAAATGGAAATACGATGCCTTCTTGAGCTTTAGAGGTGAAGATACTCGCAACAATTTTGTTTCTCATCTCTACAAACGCTTGGAAGAGAGAGGATTCAACGTATTCAAAGACGATGAGAAACTTGAAAGAGGAAGACACATCTCTGCAGAACTACTAAAAGCCATTGAAGAATCCAGAATTGCAATTATCGTCTTCTCTGAGAACTATGCTTCGTCCAAATGGTGCCTGGAGGAACTCACCAAAATTATGGATTGTGTTGAAAAGAAGGGACAGGAAGCGATCCCAATATTCCACAATGTTGACCCATCAGATTTAAGCAGGTAAAGTAATAGCGTTGCTGTAGCATTGGCTAAACACGAGGCAGATCTCAAGGGTAGTGATTTGGGGAAAGTGCAGAGATGGAAGGATGCTCTAGGTAAAGTAGCCAATATAGCAGGATTGGATGTTGGTAAAGCTGCTAATAGGTAAGTAAATAAATGTTAATTGTACTAGTTTATGAGTTTTGAATCTTATAGCCATCATCACCAAAAGAGAGCTATCAAACTGATTAAAAGCTCAATTTGTGGTTTGGTTTGCCATCATTAATTCTGCTGGTTGACTACTTGTGAAGTTGTATTAACACAAAACAACTTACAGATGTGAGGGCTGTAATTGATGTCTACTCAATAACTCAACATTTTTTAACCTTCTTGTAGCATACGTGTCCGCAGATTATTAATACTATACCAATTTTAGAAAAGGCACAATACATAAACTTGCCCTTTTAACTTGGTCTCAACTGACATCTACGCTCTCTCCAACTTTGGGTGTGCGCAAGTAAGCACTTAAACTTGTATAAAGTTGAACAGATGCATTCGACATGGCATAATTCACGTAGGACACCATGTAGGACGCGAATCGCCTCATAGGATGCCACCTAAGACGCGTGTGTATACTTGTTCAACTATATACAAGTCTAAGTGCCTACTTATGCACACCAAAAGTTGGAGGGCCTAGATGTCAATTGAGGCCAAGTTAAATGACACTTTTATGTATCATGCCTGTATAAAATATACACATAAAATATCTAATTTTACAGAACATGCCCCATTTTCAACATGTAAATTTGTCCATGTATATGTGATATCTGCTTTATGTGTGAAAGAGATGTTGAAAATGTAGACCATCTTTTCATACACTATCTTTTAGCCTCTCAAATATGGATGATGCCTAAGACTATCAGGAAACTATTCATATGCTTGGAAAGGAAGGGACTTGGTGACAGATTAAAAAAGATTTTGGAATTGATCCCGACATGCTTTTGTGGGTCATTTGGATAGAATGAAATCAAATGTGTTTCGAGAGTAAATAATTGTCTATTCTATGCTTAAGTTTAAATGCATCTTTTTGTTAGCCTTTTCATGTAGAATGGAGAATTTTGTAATGACCCTCATGGTCATTTCTGTGTCTTGCCTTCTGTGTGTCGTTTAGAGCGTTCCTATAGCGACCCCAAGTCATTTATGACTTGCTGGGACTGACAGTTCGGTCACCTGGTCGTTCGTTTGGTCTTGGTGCGAGTTTTTGTGTTTTGGAGCTTATGAACCTTGAATAATCATTTTCGATCAAAAGTTCAAGGAGATGACATCAGAATCCAATTCTGACGATTCTATCAGCTCCGGAAGGGTCATTTTAGGCTAGTAGCATGGTCAACATGACTCCCGAGGTTTTCAGTGTGAGTCGGTACGATTAGGCGTTTTAACCTTTGAAATTTGGCTTAAGTTTGACTTTGGTCAACATTCTGAGTAAACGCGCTCGGATGAGAATTCCGTCAGCGTGGTTAGCTTCAGAATGTCGAGTTTGGTCTAGATTGACCCTTCTTTTGTGTCTGGAGGTTTTCGATATCTATTCGAGCCCTTTTGTGAATTTTGACTTAAAATGGCCTTTGGAAGTGGGACCCACTTTTTATCGAAATGACCTCTGATGGAAATTTCGACTGCGCCGTTGAGTCTGGAATATCGAATTTGGTATGGTTGCATATCTCGTTTGCGTGCACGGGGTTCCGAACGAGTTCGGAGCACCCCGTCGGAGTTTTATTTTTTTTGAAAATTTCAGAAATATCTGCTATTTATTGCAGAGATTTCAGCCAAAAATTCCAAACTTCAAACCCTCATCTCTCTCTCATCTCTCAACCGATTTGGGGTTGATCCAAAAGGCTAAGTTGTGAGATTTTTCGAGGACAACGTGTTGGTGAGCTCGGATAGTGATTTGGAGTCCCCGTTTTGAGGTAATTTTCGAAAAACACCTGCTGCCAGACCCCTTTTTGTGAGTTTGTTTTTGGGAATTTTTAAGACTTGTTTTCTTAGCCATTTTAGATCCGATTTTGATGATTTTTGAGGCTTATCTTGAGTGGTTTTTCGAGGAGAACATTGTGGTGTATTTAGATTTTACTGTAGATCGCCCGTTTTTGGTAAAAACGCTGAATTAGCTGCTGTCCCATTTCTATTCTTTTGAGAAAAATTAGGTTTTAGTTGCTTGTTGATATTGTGTTGTTCCCGAGCCCCGAATTGTG